ATTAATTCGAGAGCATGAATTAGATCCGAGAGTATGGGTTATGTAAGAGTTAAAATTGAAGGTCTAAGAGTATGGATAGTCTCGTTGTAAGGATTAACGGGGTGGGGGTAAGAGTTGCTTATATATATATATATATATATATATATATATATATATATTTGGTGAAATTGTATATTTTGTGAGTTCTAAATTATATATATGATATAACATTGTGGGATTGAAATCCCTATGTACTCAACAGGTTTCCCAACCCGACCCACTCAAGCTTATTTGTATCACAGGTTTCGATACGAAGTTACATTACACTGAGAGATTAAAGAGATGTAGATCACTAGTGTAAATGAATGTAAGCTCTCTTGATGCTTATGTTTCTGTATTGATGATTATATCCCAAATGTTTTAAAATGAATAAAAATACATTTCTTCGGAAATGCTTTGATAACGTATTTATCATGTTTTACTGGGAACAAATTCCGCAATATTTTCACTAAAAAGGTACTCTGATTTTTATAAATCATAAACAAAATTGGTCTTTTATGGCCTTAAAAATGGGGATGTCACAAAATGACATGTGAACAAAGTTACATTTTTTTATTAGAAAAAATGGATTTAAAATTTTATTATTTTTTCTTTTGGAGAGATAAAATCTTACTCAAGACAAACAAAAAACTATAAAAGCAACTCATTGTATAGATGAAATAACAAAATTTAAGGTATCGAGCCCATCAACCAATGTCATCTTATACTTTTTGCACCTTTTAAAAATCCAAAAGTAAGACTGATAAACAATTTCTTCATTTTCAACACTCCAAATACTGTGTTGCTCCGAATGTTCCAAATAATCGTTAATGTTATGGTAATGATTACATCTAAGCTTTTTTTGTATTTAAATCACATTTAAAGATACATTGTTCGGTTAACTGGTGTACTCTGCAATTTTTTTGGTATGAAGATAACATATGTCAATGTATGAGTCTTAAAGGTGGAGACCATAATTCTAATGATTTATAAATATGTTGCATTGGATTATGGTCGGCAAGAAAGAGTGATTAGTATTGAAAAAAGAGAAACGAGATTCTTTATTGGATACATACTTTTTTTTCATGAAATCCCTTTATTTAGTGTTTTCATATTCTCAGTTTAACCGAAGACAATATTGTATAATACTTAACACAAAAGCTATGATTACGAAACAATATTTTATGTTGCTCGTGGATAAATCCAATAAGAGATATATACGTTGGAACTTATATAAGAGGTGCAAAAGTGATTAAAATGTCAAACAACACGAACAATTAGAGTTCTTTAGGTAGTAACACTATATGATCGTTTTATTACAATAAATATTGGTTTTAACTTTGTAAAAATCATTGCTTAATTTATACATTCACCTTGTTCCCTTGACTTTTTATTATTTAGAAGAGCATGACTAGTTGTCCAGTTCATCTCAAGACTCTCTCGCAAATACTACAAGAATAATAATCCATTTAATTTGTTTAAAAAAAGCATTCAAGTATTCAAGTATATCAAAAAAAAATTACAATAGATTTTGGCAAAAAAGCATTCAAGTATATCCTCAAGTGTACATGCACCTTAAGATCTATATTTTACTATAATGACAACGTACTTTCAAAACTATAAAAATAAATGATGAAAAGAGTAGAATACTAACCTTACAAGTATAATTGTATATACTTGAGTCGACTTTAAGATCACGAACACTTTTGTTGCTTCTTGGAAGTTGTAGCACCCAAAATAGGAATGCCCTTTATGGATCACACCTAAAAAACTAAAACTAGAAACTTATATATATATATATATATATATATATATATATATATATATATATAGAGAGAGAGAGAGAGAGAGAGAGAGAGAGAGAGATGTTAGAAACAAATTTGTCAGCGTTTTCAGGAGGTTGTGTATTGGATGAAAAAAAATATGAAGACCTGAATGGTTATTTATATAGTTGTGGTGGTTATCGCATAACCATGATTTGAATCAATTAAATATTAAAATTTAATCTTGATTCAAATCCTCGCCTTGTCTGTTACATGGATTGATACTGGAAGCCTCATAAAATTCCACCTAAACTATCAACACCATACGATTTCTAGAATGTTCCACTTCCACTATTGAATAATTAACATTCAACTCATGTACCTCCAGATTAATTCTAGTTAATTCCAAATTAATCTAATTTAGATTAATTCCTAATTAATTTCTATTTAGTTTCTAATTAATTTATTGACTTGTAATAAATTAGTTAACTAATTATCTCCCACTCTTAATTCTTTTCAAACTTTTTTAGCTCTTGAGGGCAACCCAAAAAGAACTCTGCTATTATTCCTAAAGTTATACCAATTAGTTATGACATTATACACCTATTTCAAACAGCCTCCCACTTAGAGAAGTCAATAAATATATTGGTCGGATAATATTTGAATAACCAACAAAGTGTGTGTTTCACAAAAACTTTTAAACTCTGTTCTTATCAAGATTGGCCCTTAGATAAGTGATAAGTTACTCCTTTATTTCTTCAAGATATCATTATAAACAAAGTCATATATAATGAATCAAACTAATAGGTAATTTGATTACAAATTTAGGATGAACAAATAAAACTACTAAACGAACACATCAATTTAGTACGAGCTAGACCTAGCACTTGAATGTTATCGTGAAATTATCAAGGGGATCACGATATTGCCTTTCCCACTAAGGTGAAAGGGAATGAATAAACTTTGACGACATAGTTGTTGTGTACTCATCAAATTATGCATAGACCTATTCTTTATGACCACCAGTTACATATAGCATTAGAATAAGTCTAATACAAAACCAAATCATATGCAAAGAACTCAGTGTCTCTCCGTTCTAAGAGTAAAAGATATTATGATCTCAGAATGTTCGTGATTGGATCAATGAAGTAATCTCTCTGAGCGTGGGTTTTTCCAATACTTAAATCTCTACTAAGTACTCATGAACATTATTCACAGTTACTTTCTATGTCGAAACTATATAGACAATCTACTAACGCTTCACGACAATCTTAATTTAGTACTTACTCTCAAGAGTATGAAAGATTGTGGATTTTTGATTAAATTAGTACTCAGAAAGTGGGGATCTAAAGATGCAAAAAAGAAGCAGAATAATAAATTAATTGTAAAAGGTAACACACTTGAATATAAATAAATCTCCATTATTTAATCACCAAAACAATTACAAAATTTATTCATTGCTATAATTGTTTTAAAAATTAACTAATTACTAAACTTTACATCATCTTTCGTGCCTATCCTCCTAGAATGCAATCTGTGTTTTTCCTTGGCCATCCCTTTTGTGTATGTATTTGCCAGATTCTCTTTAGATGATACTCACTTCACAACTAGATCTTCATCATTAACTCTATATCAAATGTAGTGGTACTTCCTCTTTATCTGTATGGATCTTCCATGATCCCTAGGCTCTTTAGTCAAAGCGACTGCACCTTCGTTATCATATAGTATTTCCATTGGGTCTTTATTACTCGAAACAACTCCAAGGTCACTTATGAAGTTTCTAATCCAGGTAGCTTCCTTGGACTCTTCCTTTGTAGCTCTATGTTTAGACTCACATGTAGAGTCTGCCACTGTCACCTGTTTGGAACTTTTCCAAGTTATGACACCTCCATTTCAATATGAATACCCATCCAGAATTCTGACTTTGTATTATCTCTATCTATATGGGAACTTGCGTCACTATACCCATTAACAACAAGCTCTTCTTATCCACCATAAACAAGTAACACATTTTTTGTAATTCTCAAATACTTTAGAATATTATTGACAGTCACTCAATGACTTAGTACCTGATTTTCCTTATATCAAATCACCATGCTTAGAGCATATAACACATCATGACAAGTATATGTCATGACATATATTATTGATCCTATATGTAAAGCATATAGGACTCGACTCATTCTCTCTTGTTCATCACTAGAACCATGACATCGAGTCTTACTTAATTTCAGGTTATGATGCATTAGAACAATGCCTTTCTTGGAATTTTCCATTGACTATTTTTAATACTTTCTCCACATATGTACTCCGAGTAAGTCCTATAAAACTTTTTGATATATCCCAGTAGATTCTTATACCAATTATGTATGCTACCTCCTTAAGTCTTTCATGGAAAAACACTTCCCAAGCCAAGTTTTTGCACTTTCCATCTCAGGAACATTATTTCCTATGAGTAGTATTTCATCAACATACAATACTAGGAAGAGAATAATACTCTCACCAACTCTAACATATAAGTAGTGTGATGAGAAGGATTCACAGACAAGTTTTAAAAAATCAAACTTTGAATTAAACACAACAATGGTTGCTTATAATGATTCCAGGAAAGTCTAGATGAACAAGTAAAGCCTTAAAGATAATCACTCAACAAAGTGTTCAAGATATTATAATAAAGTATGAATAATGAACAAGAACAAGAACAAGAACAAGAACAAGAATAAGAACAAGAAGAATGTTATAGAAAATGATTGACTGAATGATTCTATATTGATATTTTAAAGGTGAAAAGAGATAATTAATTATAAGGGGAGGGTCCTATATATACTAACTCATGACCAATCATGGGAGGAGACATTTGTACTAAAAGCCGCTAACAGATCAGCTACCTGACACATCGGTGTCGCGAACTCTTATCTCCTACATGCGCCACTTAATTAATGATGAATTACATAGTGACACAATAGTACTAATAATAGAGTCACCAGTCTTTAAACATCTGAACACAAAAACTACTTCGGAAGCTCATCATCTCAGACAAACATCAATATCGGACTGGAGAATTTTGAATTGCCAAGGAATCACTTGTTTTGAACTAAAAATCTCCTCTAAGTGATCGTGGCAATCACTAAGCTTTTACACTTGATCTCCAAATATGAACATGTAAGCAGTTTGCATCCAGTTTCTAACTTCAATCCATCAACTACGTTGTTTGATAAACTATTCCTTGATTTGTTCTGATGCAATAGGCTTAGCAACTTTGGCAATGATTTTTTGAAGCACACTGGTGTGGACCAAGTGCTTTTGTCTAGCTCTGAAGAATTTCCTATTCTGTGAATTCTTCCACTTATAGATGTATCCAAGCACTAGTTCCGAAATAGGACCTTCCTTTAGCAGGTCAATCTCCTCCAACTCTGTGACAAATGGAGTCAGGCGATCCTCGAAATTGAACAAGGGAGAAAATTCAACGTCTAAGCGACCAATTTGTACAATATAATCCTTCACAAATTTAAAAGCTACACTATAGGCTCCAATGCTTGTTTGACTGTCTTGTTTGTCTTTGAAATGAGCTGCAATCATTAGTACCTCATTTGGACTAATCGTTGGGAAATCAACATTCAAGATAGTAAGCTTCTTTTGGGAGTTTATAAAAATGTAATAGATGTGGAGAAGGCAATGTAAAGTTCCAAACCCTTTGTATATTCGTAGAATAGATACAAACAATAAAGAACACAAAAGTATCACAAAAATATCTTTCACCAAAAAAAGGTTTGTTTTCATTAAGAAAATAGGTTGTCACAAAGATGGTCACAAAGACGATTACAAAGACACATTAGGGTTTCACCCTATTTCTAGACTATATACTAAAATATTCTAGTGAATCTATTCAATCAAGGGATTATATCTAATCTACATATATACTAATATGGTATATAAGGAATGTATCAAATCAGATCTTCTCTAGATTAAGATATCAACATCAACACATTAGAAGATGATCATAGCATCAACTTCATTGAATCTTGGTGATCAGGGCGTCAACGTCAGTGTCAGTGCGACACGCTGATCAACTTCAGCTTCAGCATCAGCGTCAATGAGATCATCTTTAGCTTCAACTTCAGAGTCACATTTAGCACATAGTACCATCAGCGAGTGTCATTAGCATATCACTTGATTAGTGTTTCATCTGTGAATAACCATCATCGTTTGGACACACTGATCCGTCTTTAGTAGATAGTGTCTTCATTCCTTTGGTGTTGATAGAGCCTTTAGGGTCTTTCAGTCATCAGGGGATGTTCTTCAGTCTTCAACATATGAACTTCCATCCGCATATCATCATATTAACTAACTAACAATATCTATAGTGTATATATTTTGTATAAGCTTTTTCTTCCGAGAGTGTCCTTTTTTCAATGAATGATTAAGTAACAATGTAACAAAACTAGAATTTTCTCCCCCTTTTTAACAACATCAATAGGAACTACCTTCTTTTTGAATTTTTTAGAAGACAACAAGTAACCTGAAATAAAACAAAAAACAACAAATAAACTTAGAGGGTAGTATAGGTGTATCACGCTATTGTGTTGTTGCAATAGTAAATCATTTACATAGAATTGTGAAGTCTTATCAACGTATGATTTTAAATGCTGAAACATTAACTTCTTATATTAGAAGAAAAAGGGCGAGAGTGGATATGTGTGTAATGTATCATGGTACATGATATACCCATCGATGTAGTGTTTTCAAGTTCTCATCAATGTCTGGTATTTGACACATAATCATTAACTTTTAAGAAGAATGATAAGGGAAAGAATAGATTGTTGTGTTTCATAGCCTACGGTACATAGAGTGACATTGGCACAAAATTTCTAAGTTTTATCAGTGTGTGGTATCTCATAGTGATGCATTAAGTTCTTATAAAGAAGACTTGTGAGAGGAGTAGTTAAAATCTTGGCATATATCCACTAACATGAGAAAAAAGATTGGCTAAGAGAGGGGATAACATCCTTGCCTTATAAGAATTTTCATTTGTGACTAAGAAATATCTTATAGTTGAAGAATAGACCTTGCTATTAGACTAAACACAAGACATGGATGTCTCATTTAGTCTTAAAAGATAAGAATGATCTGTTGGGTTAAAGACTTCTGAAGTTAATTCTCATTAGGTCATTAATTGCTAGAAGACACGAGACTTAAGGTATATACGACAACATTTGTTCTAGGGGATTTGATTTGTCAAAAGTTACATACTTGGCTTATGAAATGCCACCATCAAATTATGAAAGGTACAATGATATTATCACAAGAGACCAAATCAGATGAAACATAGGTCTCAGCTTCAAAATCCATTTCTACATGCTTGCTAATTTCAACTTATTTTACTTTGTCAACCTTGATTGCTCCTCCTACGCTTCTGGTTCAATTGTTTGCGACACCTTGTAAACACAATGTATGATCATTATGACATTTCTCGAGTATTCCACTAAAGTGATGCAATGAATTTGCAAATCATGAACCAGATGTGTATTGACACATTAGGTAGACTGTCACCAAAACCCACTTGAAACTGTCTAAAAACATCACATGATCAAACATCCATGCTATCTCTCGTTTAACTTCAAATAAGTGCATGAAACCAAATAAATTTGAACACAAAAAAAGATACAACTGATAGGAGCTTTAGGGAGTAAATAAGTTCTAATGTTCATAGAAAATTTGAACATCAGACACAACGTTAAATTTGTTCCCACGGAGATGAAAGATTGACACCTTGATACTTAAGTGCATTCTCCTAATTATGTTTCAGTCAAAATAATAAAAAATATAAATTTGCAAATCTTTGCTGAGAAAACTTGCACATCACATCTTTTTGAATTTTTAGATTTAAACCAAAGCAAGAAAACAAAACAAGTATAAAAGATAAAATGTAAACAAAAAAATAAATTTAAGAACTAAAAAAGTTTATCTTAAAATAGATTTTAAATAAAACAAAAAACATGGAATTAATAATATTTTTTTCTTGAAGTAAAGAAAACTTTTTGAATATATATATATATATATATATATATATATATATATATATATATATATATATATATATATATATATATATATATATATTAACTAGAAAGGAAAACTAACAAAAAGGAATTTATTTATTTAAAAGAAAACTAGGCAAAACATTGGTAAAATAATTTTATTTATTTATTTATTTTTTATTATTATTATTATTATTATTATTATTATTATTATTATTATTTATAATAAGACTTTAATGAAACAGGTAAGTAACGAAACCGGTAAATCGGGAAAAGAGGTCGTCATTTTTACCGGTGATTCATTGTAACGCCTGTGTTTTTGGGCTAAAAGCCGATATCTTTTAAGAAAATTGTAGTGGCCGAAACAAGGATTCCGGAGATATAAAGAGCGCCGAAATCCGAGTTATAACGAAGAAGTTATGACCTGTCGAAGTTTCGCAACGGAACCGACACGGCACCGGGAAGCGTAAAAAGTGAATATTGCGATAAAGTGCTTTTTAGCCTTAACAATCTAAACAAAAGTCATAGTATTCGTTAAACCGAGAATTTTGATAAAAAGAACGTCCAAATCTGACTTCGTATGAGGAAGTTATGATTTTTCTAAGTTTTAGCTTATCAGTAGACAACTATATAGTCGAATTTAAGATCGAGCGATATTTAGCCAACACAACCTAAACAAGAATCGAAGGTCTCGTCAATAGTAGTACAACGGTAAAATTACTGACAAAAACGGACGTCAGATGAAGAAGTTATGAATTTTTAACGGATTTTCCTGTCCCGGTCTGTTAAAAATAATAATATTAAAATTAAGTTCAAAATTAGCCGACGAAGTCTAAACGAAAGTTGTAGAGTGTAATTTTAGCTACGCGTGCATATAAATAACGTAAAAAACGGAGCTCGTATGTGAAAGTTATGGATTTTAGAAGTTCGGGGCTCAATATTCGAAAATTTTTGCATGAACAGTAACCGGCCATGGCACCTCGCACGAAGCTGCTACGTCACCGAGTCGTGGCCGAATCCAAGACCGACGCGTGCCTTCTTCGTGTCAGCTTCTGGTAGGCCGAAGCCGAGGTCCAATAGAAGAGCGACGCGCCTCTCTATGGTGGCCCTTCCGAGCCTCATAGCCGCCTCCGAGTCTCGCCTCGCTGCTGCCACGCGCCTCGCCCCTTCGCTGCCACGTCTCCCTTCCATGTCCGAACCTCACAGCTGCTACGTGGAGCATTCTCAGCCACGAAGCCCTCGGCCTCGCACCCTATAAATAGGGGGGTTGCGAGATCTCCCGACTACTTTTAGAAATTTGACATTTTTCACCCCTAAACTTATATTTTGACTAGTTTGACTTCCCCCGAAGCCCCGGTATCATTTTTAAAGCCCGGAATACGTCCCGAAGTGCCCGAAAACCTGAAAATTTTTATCTTTTCGGTTTTGAAGCTCCAACTCTCGCAGAGCCTGGTTTCTCAATAAAACTCCCGGTTTTATCAGAAACGATCATTTTAAGGAACGAATTGCTGCCCGATTATCATCAAATCAAGTGAGTGTATAGTCAATTTCATCTTACACATAGATATGAAGTATTTTCTATAAAATACGTGTTATGTGTAATTAGATTGATTGTTTATTTGAGATGATTGTTGAATACAATGTTTTATACAAGTTATAAATTGTATATGTATTGTATCTACAAATATGTTGGGTAAAACATGGGTAGAAGAAATAGTTGATGTGTGTTAAAATGATGAGAGGCCTCGATGTTGTTGTTGTTGTTCCAGTCATCTAGCGGAGTATGGATGACGACCACGGATTCTTCTAGACAGTCTAATGGAACGCTGGTAGGCTCACAACCTATAGGTGTTGTGAATGATGTGTTCACCGATGTACTCCATCCCCCTCATGGTTGCCTTTAGGACATTTATTGTTGAGGAACCGCCTTAGCAGTAGTGCCCATCCCGATGATAAAATCCTTAGACTAGGTCCCTTGTATAGGTGTTTACGGACGTAAAGTGAGGATAACGGGAATGGGTAATCAGGGTTATTGTTGGTTGATGAAATTAATAAATTTATTGTTGATCGATGAAATTAATAAATTTATTATTATTTGTGGGTTGAAAACCCTATATGATCACCAGACTCCCAAGCCTGACCTACTCAACTTTCTGTTTTACAGGTAGTGGACTCAAAGCATAATTACGATGATGATGAGGGAAATTTGGATTATAGGCCATTAGTTGTATATTAACTGTTGTAAGGCTTATAATGTACTGTTTATACTTATGTACTGTATCGAACATGACATCCCAAGTCTTTTAATGAAATACATTTCTAAGGAAATGATTTTGATAAATCTTTATCATATTATTGTTTTGGGACAAATTCCACAATTCTTTTATTAAAAGGTTACTCTGATTTTGAAATAAAGTATAAAAAAACCGGTCTTTTCTGGCCATGAAATTGGGGATGTCACATTCATGCATTTTCGTAAACAAATTTTAGTTTGGGATTTTTTTCGAAAATTAGGGTACAATTTTTGATCTTTTTGAAGAT